CAACCCTAGGCGCAGGGGGAGGCCCAAGGGGGGCGCACCAGCCCACCAGGGGCTGGTTCCCTTCCCACTTCAGCCCATGGGGCCCTCCGGGATAGGTGGCCCCACCCGATGGACCCCCGGAACCCTTCCGGTGGTCCCGGTACAATACCGGTGACCCCCAAAACTTTCCCGGTGGTCGAAACTGGACTTCCTATATACAATTCTTCACCTCCGTACCATTTTGGAACTCCTCGTGACGTACGGGATCTCATCCGGGACTCCGAACAACTTTTGGGTTACCGCATACTAATATCTCTACAACCCTAGCGTCACCGAACCTTAAGTGTGTAGACCCTACGGGTTCGGGAATCACGCAGACATGACCGAGACAGTTCTCCGGCCAATAACCAACAGCGGGATCTGGATACCCATGTTGGCTCCCACATGTTCCACGATGATCTCATCGAATGAACCATGATGTCGAGGATTCAAGTAATCCCATATACAATTCCCTTTGTCAATCGGTACGTTACTTGCCCGAGATTCGATCGTCGGTATCCCAATACCTCGTTCAATCTCGTTACCGGCAAGTCACTTTACTCGTACCGTAATGCATGATCCCGTGACCAACCACTTGGTCACATTGAGCTCATTATGATGATGCATTACCGAGTGGGCCTAGAGATACCTCTTCGTCAGACGGAGTGACAAATCCCAGTCTCGATCCGTGTCAACCCAACAGATACTTTCGGGGATACCTGTAGTATACTTTTATAGTCACCCAGTTATGTTGTGACGTTTGGTACACCCAAAGCACTCCTATGGTATCCGGGAGTTACACGATCTCATGGTCTAAGGAAATGATACTTGACATTGAAAAAGCTCTAGCAAACGAACTACACGATCTTGTGCTATGCTTAGGATTAAGTCTTGTCCATCACATCATTCTCCTAATGATGTGATCCCGTTATCAATGACATCCAATGTCCATAGTCAGGAAACCATGACTATCTGTTGATCAACGAGCTAGTCAACTAGAGGCTCACTAGGGACATGTTGTGGTCTATGTATTCACACATGTATTACGATTTCCGAGTAACACAATTATAGCATGAATAATAGACAAAATCATGAACAAGGAAATATTATAATAATCATTTTATTATTGCCTCTAGGGCATATTTCCAACACGGGTCTCCTCTCATCGGTTTCCACCTTCGTCTTCCTCCCTCGCCCCTCCCCTCCCCTTCCCTCCCCACCTCAACCCTACTTCCTCCATCCATCCAAATCCAACCCGACACCCTACACTCCGCACAAAAGCGGTGAAACACCTGAGCGAGCGGCAGAAACAAAAACAACTAAAACAAACATAGAGCGGGCGGGCGGGGAGCGGCGGGAGATCGCCCCCGAGGATTGGGCGCGGCCTCGTGCCGATTCCCGATCGGGTAGGGTCCGATCCCCGCGCACGCCCCAGATCCCAGCACGATTCCGGCGCCTGCCGACGGGGATGAGTGCCCCCGCCCCATTTTGTCCATAGGCTTCTCTTGGAGTCCATTTGAAGGAAAACATGAATGTTCACACAATCTTCTTCTTCAAAACATGCTTGCAATAAGCTCAAGTCTCACATATGACCAATCTTTGGATAATTCCTTGAAAAGCACCTTGGCCAACACATAAACTCCTTGAAACCAACAAATAGACTTCAAGAAAAGCCTATGGACAAAACCCAATAATATAACTCAAGGCAACCATTAGTCTATAGAGAATGTCATCAATTACCAAAATCACACATGGGGGCACCACATATTCTTTCAAACTCTGACATCCATGTTCGAGCCAAAAAAATGTTTTCGAATCAATGATACCACAAACTCAGAGTAACCGACACGAGCTTTACGACATTAGAGTCACTTCATTCTTCCTCTCCACTCTTCACATCTAGACGTCAAGGATCCAAGAGGGTCGGGTGAATATTTGCTTTAGGGTCAGCATGTTAGCCGACATCCTACCATCGACGAATGGTCTCCGAGACCATCCTATACCATGTTCCATCCCCGCTTTGTATTAAAACCCAGATTCTTAGCCCAAAAAATGTCGTCCCACATGAGACAAGTTGCTTCTTTGGCCCATGCTAGTGCTTTTGCGATGAGCAAATCGCTCCTCTTATGATGTCATGTTCTCCACTACGTGGCACGTGCACACACTTGTAAAATCTCTATCTAGGCTGTCAATGCGGATTGTATTTTGAACTCTAGTAGGTTGAACTATACGTTACGATTACGACAATCGTAACTCGGTCACTCGTCCTTTCTTGCACTGGAGGATTCAACATGCACGTCCCGAGTAAAAACAAAACCCTTGAAATAATGGTTTGCGGGAACCCAAAACAAGACAAGATGAGCCGAAATTAATGACACAGACAAAAGAACCACTTAAAGCAGAAAATGAATACACCACCATTTTTTTCTTGATAAATAATAGTAATAAAGCATTTCTAGTAATAGGAGTAAAAGCAAACCACAAAGACCATATACACCATAGGTTCACTCTGGCAGGTGGGCTCCATGCATCCCGAAGGGGTGGGGCGAAGGGACACAAATTGGGCCCTACTATCGCTTCATGCTTCGTCACCAGGGGCCAAGTAGGCACGCTCATAAAAAAATCCTACTACACGAGTCGTCAATGCCAATCATACTTTGAAACTCTAGTAGGTGAAACTATACATCGCAATCACTACATTCATACTTCGAATCCTCGTCCTTCCTTGCACCGGTGGATTCGTCATTCATGTCGTGACTAAAAACAAAATCCGCAAACTAATGGCGCTGACAACCGAGAGCAAGACGAGATGGGACAAAACTAATGATGGAGCCGAAAAAGAACCAATAATGAATGCATCACCACTTGTTTTCTTGATAATAATAATAAAAAACTAAAAACATTGCAGGAGTACATCTAGTTTTTTTTAGAATCATGGTTTGCGGGAACCCAAAGCAAGACAAGATGAGCAAAAATTAATGATGCAGACAAAAAAGAAACCCACTTAAAGCAGAAAATGAATGCATCATCAATTTTTTCTTGATAAATAATAGTAATAAAGCATTTCTAGTAATAGGAGTAAAAGCAAACCAGAAAGACCATGTACACCATAGGTTCATTGTGGCAGGTGGGCCCATGTCGACCTCGAACCAAACCTAACCCAACCAGATGCATCCCGAAGAGGTGGAGCGACGGGACACAAATTGGGCCCTACAGTCGCTTCATGCTTCATCACCAGGGGTCAAGTAGGCACGCTCGTAAAAAAAAATCGTACTACACGAGTGGTCAATGCAAATCATACTTTGAAACTGTAGTAGGTGAAACTATACATCGCAATCACTACATTCATATTTCGAATCCTCGTCCTTCCTTACGCCGGTGGATTCGTCATTCATGTCGTGATTAAAAACAAAATCTGCAAACTAATGGTTTGCGGGAACCCAAAGCAAGATAAGCCAAAATTAATGATGCAGACCAAAAAAACCCACTTAAAGTAGAAAATGAATACATCACCAATTTTTTCTAGTAATAGAAGTAAAAGCAAACCAGAAAGACCATGTACACCATAGGTTCACTATGGCAGGTGGGCCCATGTCGACCTCGAACCGAACCTAACCCAACCAGATGCATCCCGAAGGGGTGGGGCGACAGGACACAAATTGGGCCCTACTATCGCTTCATGCTTCGTCACGAGTGGCCAAGTAGGCATGCTCGTAAAAAAAAATCATACTACACGAGTCGTCAATGCGAATCATACTTTGAAACTCTAGTAGGTGAAACTATACATCGCAATCACTACATTCATAATTCGAATCCTACATTCATAATAATAAACTAAAAACAATGTAGGAGCACACCTAGTTTTTTTAGAAATCATGTACTTGTACTGGTAACAGTACTAGGAGCAAATAGCAAAGCACCACAAAGACCATGTCCACCCACCATAGGTTGTGTCTGGCAGGTGGGCCCCACCCCACCCCCGGACCCAACCCAACCCAACCCAAGAAGCAGAGACCAGATGTGTCCCGAAGGGGTGGTGGGGCTATATATACGGGCACCGGGTCTCCTCTCATCGGTTTCCACCTTCGTCTTCCTCCCCCCCTCGCCCCGCCCCGCCCCTCCCCACCTCAACCCTACTTCCTCCCTCCATCCAAATCCAACCCGGCACCCGCACAAAAGCGGCGAAACACCCGAGCCAGCGCCGGAAAGAGAGAAAAACAACTAAAACGAAACACAGCGCGGGCGGGCGGGCGGGCGGCGGCGGGAGATCGCCCCGGGGGATTGGCCGATTCCCGATCGGGTGGGGGCCGATCCCCGCGCCCGCCCCAGATCCCCGCGCGATTCCGGCGCCGGCGCCCGCGGGGATGACCGCCCCCGCCCCGTGCTCCCCTCGGCCACAGTGAGCCCGCCGCAGCGGGAGGAGGGGAGGAGGAGGAGGAGGTCTGTTTGGGGGATTGAGGCGGAGGAGGGCTCTGGTCTTGGCGGCGGGCTGATCCGGCGGGCGGGGCCCAAGGCGGCCGTGCCATGTCTCGCTGCTTCCCGTTTCCGCCCCCAGGATATGTCAAGACCGCGCGCCCCGACGCCCACCTAGCCTCGCCCCTGCTCGACAAGGTGGAAACAACTCACCACCCCAATCCCGTCCCCTCTTGCTCCCTCCATCGCTCCATTAGCCCCGCAAATCACACGGGAGGGGGTTCTAGGACATTGTGTGCCGCCGCTGTTTCCTTGGTTGCAGAAATTTCTTGGGAGCCAGACCTTTCTTTAGCCCACCTATCTGTGGTCAGGACTAGTTGCTTACGGCTGTGCCGTGATGAATTTCAGCAGCGTTTCGGTCCCTTGGGTTATCCCTGGGGCTTGTTCCACCACTGATTGGTCATCAGGAAGCTAGAGTACAACGTAGGGCTGAACCAATGGTTTCCTAAAGAGTGCTGCTTCTGGCAAATTGAACCTGACAGGGCAGGGCAGATCTTGCGGATAGTTGTGTGCGCAAGGTGGGGGATTCTGTTGGGTGGATCAGTAGGAGAACGGACGCGGGTTTATGTCGTCACTCATTGATTATTGTCGCTTAGGTCTTGCATGCTTTTCAGAAGTGTATTATAGGCAAAAGCAGATTTAGTTTGAGGACGGATGCCGGTTTATGTCGTTACTCATTCATTATTGTCGCTTAGGCCTTGCATGCTTGACACAAGTAGTGTTTTATAGGCAAGAGCAGATTTAGTATGTCGCGACTCGGGGGGCTTACTAGGGCCAAAAAGTTATTTAGGTCGGCGGAAAAGAAGCAAATGTTTCTAATTTGTCGTTCTGCTGCTAAAAGCGCGGCTAAAGTTCTAGAGATGTTACCGCCGCAAGCTATTGCTGGGAGTTTCCTTTGGCCTGTCACATGACTACTTTCTGCAAATATCATCGGTACTACAGTTAAAGTTCATGCTGTGCACTAAACTGGTTGACCACACTTTTACAAAGAATATTATTTCTCTATGCAACTCGTATGTGTCCTGGTCCTGGTGGGAGTTACCATCAGTTTTTGGTGTAAATTGGCATAAAGTCGTCCATCAGTGCAAGTTTATGACCACACTGATGAACCAAAATTTCCTAATTGCTGGTCTCATGCAAGGTGTTATAAATAAGTGATACCTATGTATGCTGTCTAGGCCATACATGATGGTGGATTGGATCGATGTAGGATTTGTACTGTAAACATTTAATTAGAGGTTTTTATTCATCTCAGTGCAGTTAGTTGTTGTTTATGTGAAACTACAATTCAGTATTTTTGTGATCTGAAGGCTATTATTGCTTGTTACTCCTTCTGTTAGGAAACTGATTATGCTTTAACGTAGATTTCTTGTTAGATTTCGATGATATCTTTTTCTTTTAGTGTAGCCCTTTTCAAGTGTGCCCCTATAACAATCATCATACTATTAGTATCTACAATAAACACTACTCCCTCCGTCCCAAAATATAAGAACGTTTTTCATACTAGTGTAGTATGAAAAACGTTCTTATATTTTGGGACAGAGGGAGTAGTATCTATTGTGGTGTGGTTCAGAACTTGGGAATACAGCATAAGTGCAAAAGAGAGCCTCTATTTTTAGAGAATGAAACTTATGAGAAAGATGGGAATGGGATATTGGGATGGGCTGGTATTCTTGTATGATGATTTCTTAATGTGTGTGCATCTTGCTAAATGATCGTATTTATGTGCATCTTGCCTTTTTAGGAACAATTTGCTTGGTCTTCCACACCTGATTATGTGCTGTAGAAGCTCCAATTATGCCAATAGTTTGCTGGATTGTTCCATTCAGTTGCAATTTATCTGTGTTAAATGACACGCTTAACAGCTCTGGTTCCATTCCACCACTATATCTATTCCTACACTTGATATAATAATTTATATATGTTGGTGTTCCTGTGATTGATAGACTGTCAAATCGAACTAAAATAACATTTCATGATTCATCTGTCTGCTTATTTCCTGTTTTCTTCTGTTCCAGGGGAAAATTATTATGGGTTAACATGTATTCAAGTTTGTTGATGATGCATATAGAAAACATAAATACCTTGGCAGTTTAAAGGGCAATAGCATTTTCGTGGGCCTTTTGGCCTGGGCTGGCTGTAAAGCATGCCTGTCACATTGTTCTTAATATATGGATGATCATATATAGAGGAAAAGTTCATCTAGTTCTATCGTATATTTTCCCTATACATGAAAACTGGTAGCATAGCCAAAGATTATCCACTAGGGATGCTGTATCCTATAGATATATTATCCACTGTTAGAAAGCTGAGCAGATGTATTCATTATTGTGACCTGAACTCTTCAGCAGTTTTTCTGTCATCTTTGTATAAGAATCATATCTGGACCTCCCTTAGGTGTCTTCTGACATCATGGGATTAAATATGTTTTGGTAACTGAACTCATGCTATTCTGATATAAATATATTTTCTGCACAATCCTAATAAACTGTCATGTTGACTTACTGGTCTTTGTTAGTTTTAGCTGTCATGTTGTTTATAAATCTGATTATTGTGTGTGCTCTAATGAACCTATGTGGCCCGCATTATGTTTTTGCCTGCAATCTGCGTTATCTTAATGTACCCTTTGTAGTTCCATGTTGCTCATCGAGGAAAAACTACCCAGGCTCCATTCAAATACATGGTTTCTTACAAGATCTGGTCTGACTAACTATTAATGACATTCGTGGGTTTCATGGTTTACTCTTTTAAAACGTGATAAGCAAAGAAAGTTTCACTAAATATGGCAGATGTTCATGAATTAACCCTGCCCTCATAGAACATGGCAATAAATTGTCATGCTTACAAGCGTTTAAGCATGTCCTTAGAGCATCCTAGGGAATTTTGGCAGTGACTTGCAGCACTGCTGCTCTACTTTATTGACTACCTGAGGTGTTATGTTAGATTTGTCGAATATAGTCTCAATAAACTAGCTTATTTCTGTCTGATATGTTGAAATGTTTGCCTAAAGTACTGGCTTATATCCAATCCTATGTAACAACCTTAACTCTCTATGCTACATAACAAGGCTGTTCCATGGCACATGTTCAAATGTCGGGTGATTTAGACTTAGTTCGTTTCCTTACTAAATAAAGTAGTACTATTACTGGGTTTGCAGCTGTACAGAATTATTCAAGTCATTAGACTTGTTAGCAAAAATAAGTATAAGCTGCAATCAGAGAAGCAGATTGTTTTCCCTGGTGTTATTCAATGGTTATGTAGTGCGAGTTCATAAGTTTAAAAATAATATTTCAGATACAAACTCCACAAATTTGGAATACTGTATGCCATTTAGGTAGTGTAAATATTCACTGCTCATTGCAGTTTCTAATTCTTTGTGCTAATGGCAGCTTCCCATAATAGTGATGTGTCGTAGATGTTTATATTTGCATGACCATTCTGGTAGATCAACAAACTCATTTTGTTTCTTACCCTTTTTTTGGGCTGTTCTTTGCAACATATTGATTCATAATGTTCATGCTTAGCATTTGCTAACTATTATGTTTGACCTCTTCTTTTGAAATTTATTGACTTGGAATCAACCATCTTTTTTCAGGAGAAACACAAGGAGAAGAAGCATAAGAAGGACAAGAAGGACAAAGATAAAAAAGAAAAGAAGGATAAAGAAAGGAGTAAAGATAAGCACAGAGATAAAAAAGATCGCAAAGAGAAGCACAAAGACAAGAAAAAGGACAAGAGCAAAGATAAAAGCAGGGAATCTGAAGGGGCTGACAGACATGGTGAGGCTCTCCTTGGTCAGAAGTTTGGAGAGAGCAGCAGGAAATCTGAAGAAATTAAGGATCCTATATTCAGGGAGGAACTGGTTAGAAAGACACAAGATCAGAAAGTGGTGGAGAATCGAGCTGTTAACAACTTCACTATCTCAAATGAACGAAGTCGTGAAGGTTTTAGTGCTGCACCTGCACTGGAGAATGACAAGACCGCAGTTAACAAAATGCGTATTCACTCTATTGATGCTTCAAGGAGAAGTGAGGGCTTGGGGCAACAGACCATCACTATCAATCAACAGAAAAATGGGACATCGCTTCGACGCAGCGACAACCTCAACAGTTCATCTCAAGGAGGCTCTGATGGCTTTAGTACAACACCTATGGTGGAGAAGGAAAGAGTCAAAGTCACGAGACCTCTCTCCAACTCTACTGATTGTGTGCCAAGGAAAGAGGGAACGGGGCAGCGTATCAGTAACATTAGCATACTGGTGCAGAAGAGAACTGAGAGCCCAAATAAAGAGACTGCAAAGAAAGAAATTGGCACCAACTCTCCGTTGCTCAGAAGCCCTGCTAATGCTCTGCACAAGGGAAATGGTAAGGTTGGTCGTCCGGTGGACAGCGCACCAACATCCATGCAGAGGTTTGAGAGTCCATCAACATCTGGCGCATCAACAGGGATGGATAGGAGTCTACCTAGGTCAACTATCCCAAGCCCAAGCATTACAATCCGAAGGCCAAATGGGATGGTTAGGCCAACTGAAAGCTTGTCCATTTCCGCTAGTAAACCCAATGCTGGAGGTGTTTCACCTGCCATGGGCAAGGAAAAGGTATCAGGTGGGAGAATGCTACAGAATACTGTTTCAGCTGATCAGAAACTGGTTGGTGCTAAGCCCCCAGCTGTGGGCAAGGAAAAGGAACCAGGTGGAAGAGTGCTGCATCCTTGTGTTTCAACTGATCAGAAACAGGTTGATTCTAAACCCCCTGCCGTGGAGAAAATTGCAGTTGGAAGAGCTGAAAGGGTGGAAAAGGTCAGAGATGGGGCATCTGATGATACAAAGAAAGAGGACAAAAAACGTGAACGGCATGAGAAAAAGAAGAGGAAAGAGAAACATAGAGAGAAGAAAAAGGAAAAGGAGGCAAAGAAGGAGAAACAGGAACATAATCACAAAGAGCATGATAAGTTAAGAGAAAACAGTATAGATTATCAGATAGACAGTCTGATAGATAGTCTTGACACGAAGCCCTTAACCCCTCCCTTAGCTCCTCCAGCTGATGATGCGAAGGTTGTCCTAGCCGATGAAAACCTGAAGAAGCGAAAGAACCACGAGATGAATGGTTACCTACAAAGTGAGTTCCTAGCTTTGCTTTTTATTTTGCACTTACCAGTATTGCATAGTCTTGTAGAACACCATTATACCTTTTTATGGTGCTTTATGTTATAAGACTTCTGATGCTCTGTACAGACCATCATGAAATGCGGCCTACAAAGTTGCCGAGACCAGCCCCTTCCAGCAATCATGTGGAGAATGGTACAGCATCTCATGTAGCCGCGCCACCCTCTTCCATGAAGCCAGATGCCATGAAAATCGAAAAGGCTGAACGGCTCCCTAAGAAGGAAGAGAAGGTCAATGGCAACAAGGAAGCTCAGCAGCGACCTTCACTCGATTCAGGGCTTCGAGATCCTCTCCCTAATAAGAAGGAAGAGAAGGTCAATGGCAACAAGGAGGCTCAGCAGCGACCTTTGGTCGATACAGGGCTTCGAGATCCTCTCCCTAAGAAGGAAGAGAAGGTCAATGTCAACAAGGAAGCTCAGCAGCGACCTCCGGTCGTTTCAGGGCTTCGAGATCCTCCTCTCCCCAAGAAGGAAGAGAAGGTGAATGTCAGCAAGGAGGCTCAGCAGCGACCCCAGGTCGTTTCAGGGCTTCGAGATCCTCTCCCCAAGAAGGAAGAGAAGGTGAATGTCAGCAAGGAGGCTCAGCAGCGACCTGCGGTTGTTTCAGGGCTTCGGGATCCTGGGTCATCATCATCTGTGAATGGCGCACCTGCTAGGAAGTCGCCTCACCCGGATTTCAAGTATCTGGGGCAGATATACAGCATCCCTGAAGCACCTCAGATCATGGAATACGATTATGGTGACCAGGACTGGCTGTTCGGTCGATGTAGCACCCAGCCAGAGAAGCCCAAGATGGAGACGGAGGCCGATGGAGTGCCCCAAGTGTGGGCTGAGGCTATGAAAATCGACCCGGCCGACGTCATCGCTCTGCCATACGTCATTCCTTTCTGATATGATACGATGCTTCCTGAACTAGTACTGAGCAAAGATCGTGTGAAGTAACTGAGCACTCAGCACATCAAGTTTGCAACTAGTTTCTACTTTCTAGCACTGCTCTGCTACAGCTTGTGTAGCTCGGCGGCAGGAATGGGTGATTCGCCCGTTGGTGGGTGGGGTAGCTGTAGACCGGTGCGTGACAACTCAGCACTTGTGAGAGAGCTGGCATGGCTGGCAGGTGTGGAGTATCGATCCCGACGAGTGCTGTGCTGCCCGGAGAAGACGAGAAGAGAAGGCATTGGTATCTGTTGGTCGTCGCCGCGACATGATCGCGGATCCTGCGGTCATGATGAGCTTAGCCATCCTTGCTGCATATGCTGCTGCCGCTGCCGCTGCACAATTTTGATCTGTATGGTGTAAAAGCATTTTTATAACCAACATGTACATTAGAGAGACAGAGGAGGAGAGTGAGGGCTGGAGAGGGAGGAAGAGACTTTGAGCGAGTGAGACATTCATTTATAGTTGGATTGGTTGGTGAGACACACACATAATCTGCTGCTCCTGCTGCTGCTGCTGCTGCCTGATTTATTCTTGTTCCCAAAGTTGGCATGTTGTTTGTGTATATAACTCTCTCCTTTTTAGGCGGTTTTACGTTACAATAGATGATGATGATGTGTTTTTGCTGAGGTTTTGTAACGAACGCCACTCGTGTTGAATGAGGAGGTATCATCGGAAGTTAAAAAATTGGCTTCCTAACTGTTTGAGAGTGGGCATGATGCTTTTCTGCTTGAGTCGACTGGCTCTAGAAGAGAAGTTTGGGATGCCAAAATTACAGTTGCTGTCGCGTTTTTCAGGGGTGCTTGTTGCAACATGTAGGCAAAGTTGTTGATGAATAATCTCAACCCTCTGCTATGTACTCCCTCTGTAAACTAATATAAGAGCGAGCGTTTAGATCACTATGTTTGAAATTAGGTGACAGGTTCTACTAAAATTCAGAAAAACTGACAGTAGATGCAGAACGAGGAACAGCTAAGAAAAGCATGAGGTTGGCTAGAAATTGGAGTTTGGTCTCGCTCAGAGACGATGGTTTAGGCACGACCATTGTAGGTGGCGGCTTGGTTTAACCGAATTTTTGTCTTAAAAACACCACCTGTTGAGTTGAATTGCCATAAAAGACCATCTGTGAAACGAATTGTCAAACAGATGCCGCCACACAGCCGACACGCCTCAATCACAGATGCACCTGCCGCCAAAATAAATTACAGACGCGTGTGTTGCGGCAAGTGCCATGTGTCAGCTGGCGCACCTGCTGTCACGGTGCAGCTGGTCCTTTTTGACAATTCATTTTGGAGGTGGTCTTTTCTAGCAATTCGGCTCAGCAGGTGGTGTTTTTAGACAAAAATCGGTTTAACCCCCTTAGCCCCCAAACGCCTGCAAACGCGCTGGTTGTATCCATGGATAGTAGAGTAAGACATGAGGCACACACAAGCTTATGAGACTTCAGGCGCCGATGTCTCCCATGCCCTACTCTTACTAGCGGGGCTCGGAGCCTGCACGTCGTCGGTGGACGTGAGATCGATCGACGATGGATCCATCAAGGTCGGGGGACGCCACGTCCACCACAACACGATTGTGACGGAATGAGTCGAGCGTCGGAGGGTGCGACTCCGCCTCGTCGACGTCTGTCGCGGCCTCCCGCGCCCGCTATCTCGCACGACTGGCATGTCATGCCATATTTGCAATGGTTCTGTAGCGGTTGCGCATCTTCAATTCGGCGCGCCAATCAAACAGTTGTGCATCCGCCGTGGCGTTCGGTCGCCAGACGGACCGCATCGCCTTCGGCGAGGCAGCGGCGATGCCCCTCGCGTCGGATCCATGCAACATTTGGACGGACGCAATTGATTCCCGTCGGATGGAGTTGGACTGCTGTCGGGCAGACTCCTCCCGGGAGCGGCGTTGCTCAATGTAGACATCCATCTCCTCCTTGGGGCCACGTGGGATGAGCTCCCGGTCCTAAGATCAAGAGGTGTAGGCCTGGGATCCTTCCTGTCATGCCGGAGAAGGCCAGAGATCGTCGCAAGGGAGCTTGGGTCCGGAGGGGAGTGGAGTGAAATGCGGCTAGGGTTGAATTTGTGGGGTCGGGTGGGCCACAATGGGTCCGATCCTATGTCACGGTTGCGTCCAAGCGTCCCATATCCACCCTAGATATGGACTGGATATCGGGGTTCCCGGTTAGTTGGATTGTTTAGGCCGGATTTGCCGTTGGGTAGCAATTTTGCGCCTGGTCAATGATCGGCCAACCCGTCGGGGCATCTGGGTGCGGTCAGCCACCCCGTTTGAGATGAAAGTTGGCACAATCGTAAGGATTATTCTTTTTCCAAATACGCCAAAAGCGAACCATATTTTAAAAGATTTATTAACCAACCCGTGGTTAGATGGTTAGAGAGACAGTGATATCCCGTCGATGACTTTGTAAAATTGAAGATGATATGCCGGCTCAGTCTTTTGAAGGTGCTCATAGGGGTAGGATGTGCGTGTGTGCGTTCATAGGGGTGAGTGTATGCGCGTGCATATGAGCACTTGCGTCTGTACTGTCCTAAAAGAATAAAAAATTAAGAGGTTAATGCCTGACATAGCACCGTTATATAGGCGCAATCCTCCGTGGAGGAAATAAAATTATCCATGAAATAGTTTTCTTCCATTTAACAGGAAATCTATCAGTGAGATAGTATTACTAATGCTAACCTGATACGTAGGCCGGCTGTGCTTCCTTGATGGCTTTAAGGAGAGACGACTGTATCCGCAAAAAAAGAAAAGAAAGGAGAGACGACTGTGACGTCGTCGCCGGTGCAGAAAATGCAATGATTTGTAGGAGTAGCACAACCACCGCTTTTTGGCCAGCGGCAGCGGCAGCGTCCGTCCGTCCGTTCGTGCGTATTTTGACCCTTCTGGCTAGCGGCAAAATTTCGTGTTTTGACCCTTCTGGTAAACAAATTCAGGATCTGACCCCGATTCGAAAATAATTCGGGATTTGACCCGTTTCTTATCGCCATGGTGGCCCCCTGGCGGCAGGGTATTAATCCACGTCAGCACGCGGAAACGGCCGCCGCCCCCCTTCGTCGCACCCTACCGCCAGGGTCCCTGGCGATAGGCTGTCTAATCCTACCGCCAGCCACCCTGGCGGTAGGGTCCGAGCAGTTATTTCGCCCCTGCCCATCTCCCCACCCCTCCCCCTCCCCCCGTCGGCAGTTTCTTCTTTTCTCCCCCAAGTCGCCCCTCTCTCCCTCTCTCATCTCCTCCACTCTCCCCCTCGGATCTTCACCGTTTTTGCGGATCGAGATGGCCCCGAAGAGAGAAACGTAAGCTCCTCCGATCCCTCCAATTAATTTTTGCAAACTTGCTTCCAATTCGACGCATTATTTGCTTGAAATCCTTCATATTTTTGAACTTAGATTGGATTTTTTTCTCCTAAGATTGTTTTAGCTTGATTGTAGTTCTAGTTCTTAGTTCTTTTGTAACTAGTGGTATTGAATATGAACTCTAATCAATAGTTCATATATTAGTGTGAAGATGTAATGCATATGTGGGAGGACTTGATTGTAGTTTTACGATGCATGTTGATATGATGATATGAAGATGTTGGAGGATTTTTTGTTCAAAAATATGATGATATGATGCATGTTGGAGGATTTTTTTTAAAAAAAATATGATGATATGATGCATGTTGAACGTTTTTTTTGATATGATGCATGTTGATATGATTTGATCCATCATGTGTACTAGGTGTTGTTGGAGGAATATGCTTAAGATTTTATTTTGATATGAAGCATGTTGATATGTTTTTGATATGATTTGATTCATTTTTTGTTTATGTATGCTTATGCTTATGATGCTTTTGTTTATGAAATTTTATTAAGGTGGACACCTCTTGCAGACAACATCGGCCCACGGTACTCCATGCTTGACTCGCATTCGACAAAGGGAGAACGAAGAGGTAAGTAACATGAATGAAATATTGATAAAAGTTTTTGGATTGATGAAAATAATTTCCTAACTTTTGGTGTTCACCTTTTGACCGATGCTCCAACCACTACGCATGAGGGGGCACGTGGTTCATGGGCATATGGACTACGACGAGCGCTACGCGCCGTTCTTCAAGAGAGCCCGGCTGTTGGGTTTCGCGTTGCAGTTCAAGCGTCAGCCGTCGACGCTTGTCCACGCCGCTCTGACAGCTCTGATTGACCGGTGGTGACCGGAGACCCATTTTTTCCATCTCCCATGCGGGGAGATGACGGTGACCCTCGAGGATTGATCGATGATTACTGCCATGCCAATCGAGGGTCATGCACTGACCGGGCGAGTGGAGAGGACCAACTGGCAGGAGAGGGTTACTACCCTCATCGACGGCTGCCCCGAGGCTAAGGGTAACCGTACATCCGGTGTGCCGTTGCCCTGGCTCTCGGAGCACCGGAAGACATGCCCCGAAGACGCCGATGAGACGACCGTGGAGTGGTACGCGAGGGCCTACCTGTGGTATCTTCTCACGGAGGTCGTGTTTCCAGACGGATCCGGGAACTCTGCCAACTAGTCGTATCTGTTCTTCCTAGCCGACTGGGATGCAGGGTACAGTTGGGGACCGCATCTCTCGCCTACCTATACAGTTCGGTAAGAGAGTATCTAATTGCCTACCTACGAAAGTATGTCCATGACATTTTGTTATATCTGATCCTCATTTGATTTTTTGCAGCTTGATGACGCAACATAGAGGACGAGAGAACAAGTCCAATATGGGTGGCTTTGTCTGGGACTTCTCCGTTTGGATGTGGGAGCGGCGGGGCGTCCTGAGAAGCTGCCAAGACGCCCATGGGGTGCCAATAGCGAGGACGGCGGCGAGACTCGACACCCCACCGTAGCTTACGAGTGGGATGTTGTCAAACTCTACACGGGCCTAAACAAGACTTCGGACAAGACCTACACCAACGAGTTGGACGCTTTGACGCATTGGCAGGTATATGAACTCGCTCAACACCTTTCTCTTTGATTCCATTTTGGACCGAGAGAGTGGGAACTTACCAAGGTATATGTAATAGGTAAACTGGTGGTTGTATCATGACCGAGCGTGGGACTTTGATCTGAACGTGATGTGCGATGAGGAGCGTGGTCTCTGGCGGTGCATCGTGCCCATGATCTATGTGTACGCCGTCGAGTGGCACTTGCCACACCACATGGCCACGCAGTTTGGGGTGTATCAGCATACCCCACCGGGCCCGCCCACCGATACCGGCGGCCACGCGCTCTGCATGTGAGCACTTTGTTCTTCGTGCCCATGATCTCATTGCGTGGCGACTTTATTATGATGTTTCTTGAGGCCTATGCCTTGCAGGATGAGCCAAAAGAAGAATCAGGCTATCACAAACTAGGGAGAGGAGCATAAAACTCATGTGACGGAGTGAAATTGACGGAGGTACCGAAAAGACGGGGAGAGGAAAGTGACCGACTGGGATGCTTACCTGGATCGACACATGAAGTGGTACGATGATGGCCAGAAGCACCGTCTTCGTCTCAGGCCTCGGTGGACGGCGGAAGACATCGCGAGGCTGTTGAGGGATGACCCCGAGGAAGAGGCCTACCAGACCGGCATCAGAGACATGCACAGTGGATTTAGGGAGTTTGCACCCCTCATCAACAGTGGTAAGTTCGAACCGACGGTTGTATTTAAATTATTGTATTCGTCATCGTGACTGACTTATGCCGTTGCAGTCTGGTGAGCTGAACAGATGCATCATTGAAGCCTCAGATACACTAGGTGATGCCCCGGGAGCGTACAATCTGAGAACAAAATGACGGGGACGATAAAGGTACAATTTCAGCCTCCTTGGAATAGATGCATCTTGTTCACTTGCAATCATAAACCTGATACTTATTATGCCCTTGTTTCATTGTGAGTTCAGAAGTTCATGAAGCGTTGTCGCAAGTTGGTAGGCCTGCTTGGGTGTGCTGGAGCTGGGTCGGTTGAAGCTTATCAGCCTGTAGCCACACAGGGTCACATCGCCTCATCGAGCCATGGTCCCTCTTCGTCTAGCTTGGTTGAGGAGGAGGAGGAGGAGGCCACACATGAAGAAAGGGAGGAGGAGGATGAGCAGGATGAGAGCAACGAAGAGGAGGAGTACGATGAAGATTATGGACCTCCAACAACTCAATCATCTCAAGCACCTCAGCCGCCGAAGAGGAATCCGAAGAAGAAGAATTTGCTGAGTCCAGACCCTTTCCAGAGACCGGTTCCTCGACGGTCCAAGAAGAACACTGAATAGACTCGTTCAAAGAGGAACGAGGACCGTGCCTCCAAGAGCAAGAGAGGAAGGATGAATTAAATTCTGCTATTCGATACTTGGCTGTAGTTGAAAAGTCTAGTGGTTGTGAAACTATGTGTTTGCTATTTGTGAAACTCCGTTTGCTATGTGGAACTAAGTTTGCTATTTGAACTAAGTTTATGTGGAACTCCGTATGACATGTGTATGTGATGCCCAAGTTTAATTGTTTGAGATATGTTATTTTGACTCTGTATCATTGCTGTTTTTGACTCTATATCATAGTTTGAGATCCGTTGTTTTTGAAAACAAGAAAGAAATTGAACTTGGAAATAGGCAAGACCCTACTGCCAAGGACCCTGGCGGTAGGGTTAGACAGCCTACCGCCGGCCCCTATGGCGGTAGGTTGACCCTACCGCCAGGGCACTCGATTTTTTCGTTAC